GGCTGAATTAATTAAAAAAAGAAAGTATAAATCAGTCTTTCTCTTTCTTTAGCCACTCAGGACGATGGCGAGGAGATGCAGTCACGGTGAATAGCTCCTTCATGTCAAAGAGCATGCTGGGAACTATGAAAGAAGACATTGTTTTGCATGATAGCTATTAAGTGTTTATGCATGTTCATCGACAGAACTTCAACCATTGCCACCATTTTTACCCAGTCAAACTTCAAGCCGGCTCATTTTTCCACCTAAATGACACAAAAACGTTCAACGTTTCTGCCGCCTTGACTCATCATTGAAGGAAAAATCATTTTGAAAAAAAGTTATTTAATTGTTTATTTTTAGTGATTGCAGCTGTTATGGTTTTTTCTTGCAGTGTGAAGCCGTCTCTCATCGAGTACCTGAGCTACAACCTGAACTTCCTGAGCATCCTGGTCGGACCCTGCAGCAACTACAAGGACTACGTAGACTTCATAGAGGGTAGACACATCAGCCAGAGGCTCAAGCAGCATTCTGGGATGTGTAATGGTCACAGCAAGACTCCAGACCTATCTCCTTTGGTGAGTTCTTGAAGGAATTTGAATGCTGCTGCATTCTGTTTCAGGGTCGCAGTGTTTCAGTGTTAAAATACTTATATTTTAGTATTACAGGGGTCAACAACTTACCAGTAATACTAGTTTTTGTTGAAATTGTTTTTGTTTTATGGTGTGTATTGAACAATCTGGAAATTTAAATGCAAATGACAAGGGGCAACATAAATTCTACAGCAGTGTTTCCAGAACTTTTTTTCTGGGGACCTAGAAGAAAAAAGTCACAAACCTTCGCGACTCAAGTCAATAGACATTATTCGTAAATTCCTGGGAAACATGATGCGAGGCGACCCAAAAAAAAACTCTTGCGACCCACCTGAGGGTCACGATCCAGTCTTTGGGAAACAACGATGTAGAGCAGAGGTGTCAAACTAATTTTGATATACAACAAAATGACCCACAAATATCAATAAGTCCTTTTTCTTTTAAGTATAAATTATTTTTTTATGCAAGTAAGTACTTTAAATAAATCTTCATATTTAATGAGATATAATTTTACAAAACATTTCCTGAACATGAAGTGTTTTTGTATCTTTTCATTTTCAAAATTCATCAAGCGGGCCAGATCGAAACACCAAGTGGGCCGTTTTAGGCCCACGAGCCGTATGTTTGACGCCGCCGACGTAGAATATTGTAGGATTAAGTGAATGCAACTGCAGCAGCATCGTATCTGCTCTTTATCAGACCATTTCTCCGATGCTTTCATGCTAATCGCACGTCAATTCCGTCAGCGTGACTGAAGGACCGCCTCTCGACAAACCGAGTTGAGTTGAGCTGTCAGAAAGCTTTCATGCCTGACGCTTGACCTTCACACTGCCTCTCACCGTGCAGCTGTTTCTGTTTCTCCTTTTTTCCTACCGCCGCTTTCTCCCAGTGTGACTCATTTTCCCCGCTGTTCTGTCTGCAGGGGCGTCTTTAACCAGGGCTACCTGTGCTCCAAATGTGGCCTCGGTGCCCATAAAGAATGCCTGGGGCGCTTTGGCTGTTGTGGAAAAACAGGTAACACACCCACTGCTCTCCACACATCTGCACAAGCTCCGACGTTGAAACACTCTCCTGATGTTATCGCTCAGCTCCGTATCAGTCACATTATGTCTGCGGACTGGATTTGATCACATGGACATCGACTCGCAACTGCTTTTTTTTTTTTATATCAGCGCGATCACCGCGACAGAGGACACATAATTGCAAATAAAAACCTGATGTACGAGTGTCTCACGTGACTAATTAGCCCGAGGCAGTGAGATTCGTCTAACAATGATGGATGCCAGTGACATTTTGAAAAGGGATCGGACTGATAGAGCGGTTGCATGTGTCTTTCTTCAACTCCTGCGATCATAACCATTTTGTGTTCAACTAAACACAATTTTCCTGGGAAAATAATCAATTTTACATAATAATTTATGTAACATGGTGTGGTACGCATATATACGTCTTTTTTATTGTCAGTTTTATACAGTATCACATGTATGTTGAAGGAATGATCTAATCCGGAGCGACTAAATTTACAAAGAATTTTTCTCCTGACTGAAAGAAAGAAAGACTGAAAAAAAATGAGGATCGTAAATGAAAATCGCATAAAAACGCATCTTCTTGATAATTTTGCCTGAAAATAAATGATAGGATTAGCTGAATGGCAGTGTTTACATTTCATTTTTATATTCGCATTTTTAGAAGATGAAATTGTACTCAATTATATCATTCTACAGTCAAACGCAGCGCAGTTGCGCAAATGTGTCTTAATGAAGGAATTCTCCGGAACAAAAATACGAAAATGAAAAATACGCCGGCCCCGTTGCGTATCCGTCACCAGGCACCGTGTACCGTAGCCCTGACAGCTCTGAAAGAAATGGAGGGGAAAACTTCTTGGAATGAAACCAGCTTAGCATGTCTTATGTGCTTAAGTAGATGTGTGTGTGTGTGTGTGTGTCTGAGAATGAGAGACACAGAGAGAGAGACAGACAGAGAAAGGTGAGAAATGAAATCCAGACTTTTTGTTTGTAAAACTTCCTCCAGGTACAGTAATGGAAGTGCAGGCTTTTGTTCTCTCGGCTCATCTTTCAAAAGCAACAGTGCAGGGTTTTATTTTGACAGCCTGCACTCACTCCACTCCTAACACTGCACACGGCAAGTTGTGTGTTTTGTTTTTTTTTTGTTTTTTTTTTTTTTTGTTGTAATCCCTCTGGCTATCTGCCAGCTCTATTTGGACACGGCATATGTCACGCCGCTGTCAGGTCGCAGAGGCAAAACAACACCACTGCCAGGCCCGACCGGTCACTGCATGCACCCCTTGTAGTAGTATTGGACCAAACTAGTAGTTCATCTAGGAAAATACTTCAGTACTGCATGTATTTTTAATATACTTTGTGGACTTTGTCTTGGGAGAAAAAAAAAAGAAAAAAACATGCAAAACATGTGTGTGAGGTGTGTGTGTGTGTGTCAGAGATAAGCTGTTGTTTGCCTGTATTTGTCTCTGTTATCAGCTCCCTCCCTGTGTGTGTTTGTGTAACAGGTCAGGGTTCACTGGTGGGAACAACACGCCTGCTGAAGAGTGTGTGCAGCCTTACGCGCACACACACTCACACACATGTGTGCATGCAAGGCGTAATTGTGCGCATCGGTTGTTTTGTCCGTCGGCTCGTGTTTACGTCGTGCAAGTTCGGTGCACGCCGGGGGGGGGGGGGGGGGGGGCGGGGGGGA